ACAGAAAAATGCACATTAACAGCACTTCCTGCATTAGTTCCCCAAGGGTGCTGCATTTAAGCACAAAGCACACCTTACCACTTAGCTTCAAATGTCTTCCCTCCAATCTGGAAGCTGCATACTACTGCTGATAAGGCACTAAACGCGCTCTCCGCAGACCGGAATTGCTTAGCTGACCACAGCACATTTGCCGCCTTGTCCAGCCCATTCGTCTTCGCAGAAGCCATCATTCTGACACATTTAAAGTGTTTTAAAATGAAAAGCAGTTCTCTCTGTGTAGCATTCCTAAAAAAACACACACCCTCTGAAAATATATTCTCAGCGTGCGCTATCTCACAGAAGAACAAAGGCCCAAATTATCTCCAACGTCCTGAAGATACAGAAAAGTAAAAATAAAAACCATTTGCGTCATCAGCAGTATATCTTAAACGAAATCTGGAATTTAGAATCATACTGCAATTAAATATTTGGCATACCATCCCTTTATCAGGAGGCTCTAACATGATAGTACATCAGAAGGCCTCATCTACAGGTCAGAGACTTAAACTTAAATCAAATCACCATGTGAAGGATACCAGAATGCACTGTGGTAGGATAATGCTGCATTTAATGCTGTAACGTGTCGATGAGTCTATGTCTGCGCCCTGCGATTGACAAAGATATTCTTCAGGGTATCTGTCTACCTTGCACCCCATGCTACCTAGAACAGGTTCCAGAATCACCAGCCAACCTATCAAGATCCTCCACTGGATAAGAGGTGCTGGAACAAAGCACGTTTGGACAAAGTTTGCAAAGATATAAAATATCGTAAACATGAGACTTTATTTTTGTAGTTCAATCATGCATATCGTTACGTAATGCATATTGGCTTCTATGGTCATTCTTTTAACATAAAAAACTTGACCAAACCGTTTTATAACCAATGATGTAAAACTGATACTGTGTATTATGTTTAAAATGATGGAACTCAATAATAATTATCATAAAATAGGTACAGTTGCTCACTTGCAGCAGGAATTATAGTCAGTAATAGAAGCCATTAGCTCCAGTAAACACAGTGAATGGGAGATCACAGAGCCATTGCAATATCACATACATATTAAGCCATACATTCAAATTCATACATCAGGGTGCTTCTGTGAAGATCTACTAAAGATACATCCAACATTTTTGTACAAATGAACTGTTAATCCATTCAATGTCAGTATCCAATACCAAGGTGAAATAACATCTGTCTTATGCCAATTTATTCTAACTGTAGGCTAAAGACAACAAACAAAAACAAGAACCACAAATGGATACATTAACCAGTGGCGTTTTAATAGCAAATTACTCTTGTTGTTTCACTTTTCAACAATCAAAATGATCAAAATGACAATGCTGCTGCTATTACCAACCATAATACTTAGTGCCTGAATCCAAAAAAAAATCTTTCAGCGGCTGTCTGTGGCTCAAAGCAGTTTAATGAAGAACCACATGCCTTTAATTAGCTATTTCACCAGTCCATTCTATTAAGCCAAATTCTGATTAAGTCTGACCCCGTCCTTTTACTTAAACCAGTCTACTTCACCATACCCTAGTTTACATATGTAAACGCCATTGTTTAACTAGATTTGGTGCTGTGAGAAACGACAGCATTGTATTCCACAGACAGCCCTGTCATTGGATCAGTCTATCTAAGTCATTCTCATCCCACACTCACCAGCTTATACAATTTCTAGAAGTACTGGGTGGATCACTTGGATTTATGAGAATTAATAAATGTATTTTTACCTGAATGCTGGGAGCCCTTCTTGTGATATGTAGGTCTGACAGTATACTTATTCATTTAGCACACATTCCACTTCCAATCAGGTGATTACTCCTTTGTGTATGTTTTAATGTCGAGGTCTGAAAATGTCATTTAGGTAATTTATATGTTTAAATACGTATATTCTATTTATTTTGCTTTTCACTATGACCTAAATTATCTTTAACATAAAAGTTAGAACTGTAACTGATATGAAAATGGTGGTTCCCTTTTCTGCCAGGTCCCCCTTTTGCAAATTAGATGATTTTCAGGCCCAACCCCCCCACCCAGACAGACACACACACACACACACGCACACACACACGCACACACGCACACACACACACACACACACACACACACACANACACACACACACACACAGACTGGTCACTCACTATCCTCTCTACACTTTCCTAAAGGAAACACCTGCAAAGCTGTCATTATGGCATTAAGTTTGAAGATGTGGTATTTAAGAACTTCCATCCAACCATCCATTGTCCAAACCGCTTATCCTTCTGGGTCGCGGGGGGTCCGGAGCCTATCCCGGAAGCTATGGGCACAAGGCAGAGAACAACCCAGGACGGGGGGCCAGCCCATCGCAGGGCACACTCACAGACCATTCACTCACACACCAGTCACTCACACACCATTCAGTCACACACCATTCACTCACACACCAGTCACTCACACATGCACAGCTACGGGCAATTCAGTATCTCCAACTAGCCTCAGCACGTCTTTGGACTGTGGGGGGAAACCGGAGTACCCAGAGGAAACCCCACGACGACACGGGAAGAACATGCAAACTCCACACACATGTAACCCAGGCGGAGACTCGAACCCTGGTGTGAGGCAACAGTGCTAACCACTGCACCACCACGCTGCCCCCGTATTTAAGGATTTAACTGTTGTAATGTTTTTAATATAAAAATATTGCACTAATTTTAAAATGGGTATTTACGGCCTTTATGTATCATTCAATAAAAGATCAGGAAAGGCAAAACAAACAAACAAACAAACAAACAAACAAAAGAATTTGAATTTGAATATGGAAAATTCAAGTGTCCTCTTTCAAAAACATAAACAAGTATCAGACTAGTGAAAACTGGGTTGTATTCATTTCAGTCCATAGCAGGGAAGTTCAATGGCAGTTCAAGCACATCAAAAGAAAAAGCAACTATGTGTTTCTTCATTTCAGAAAAGCATTTTGTTGTTGCTGCTAGCTGTTATTTTTGTTCCTAACTGTTACTGCTGCTCCGCACAGATTTGGCAGAGACTCGTTTTCATTGCCTCATATGTGAAATTTATCCATATATTGATACATTGTTTCCCTACCTAAAAGCTGGCTGTGGCACAGACAAAATGGCAAAAAAGTTTACAGACCAACTTCACAGACAAAACTACATGGTTTCTACTTGTCAGAAGGATACATGGTTTTCGCACTTGAAGCCGGTTTGATCAACATAATCCATTGATGTGCAGCTACAACCAAAACTAATTACTAAAATTCTATTCTGATTGCATCCGTTTTAAACTTGTCACCAGCTGACACTGTCAGTACATTTCGTCAGTTTCTGGCATCACATATTAATTTGCATTTTATCATCATCTCATTTACGTCAACGAAAAAGCCCTGTTGAGGAATGATTTCCGTTATAGTTCTCAATACATAACAAATGTTTGTTATTCTTGTTCTGTTATTCTTTTTTATCAAATTGTAATTAACAATGTATTAATTATTATGATGTTCTTTAAGGGATTTTTTTTCACTGAGATTCCTTGCCGGTACAGGAAATGCCATCACTAAGGTGATGTGAGGAAATATTTAATACTTCCATGCTTGGTGACTAGATGATCTATTTCAGTTTGAAGCATTAGTTGAATAAACAACCAAGCAGTAATGTTATTATTTCACATTAACACCATGAAAGAACTTGCTTAAAAAATATAAAAGGCTGAAGACATGAGTGATGATCATCAGGTAGCGATTCGGATGATTCTTTCCACTCTAATGAATGTGTAATACATAAAAGTAATTTAATGCTCTAGTAGGATCATAAGCCATGAAGAAATATAATTGAAGTACTAAAATGTTACCAAATTTGTTTCTACAAACTGATCTGATAAACATTCTCAATTAAAAAGGCATAGTCTTATACAATGCCAGGAATCCAAACAGCCATGCTTAATTATAAATGTATATACACATTCATTAGTATATGCATATGGACCCAAGTGAGTATATGTATGCATGTGAAACTAGTAATGTATTCTTATAATCAGACAATATTATGATATATGATTAGGTAATGATATGATATTACCTAGTTAAATATATTGGTTAGTTTCAGAGTTCACAGTGCAATTGCTTTTATCTGACTGCATTCATGCATACGTATACCGTACGTGCTGCTTGAATTGCCTTATGCATTATGTCAGCTTCCTTGTGTAAATTGTGCTGATTGCTCGCCCTTGCACAGTCCTCATTACACTAATGAAAACCTTCAAACTCAAAAAGCTAAACAACCTGCCAAATAAAGGGCTGAGGTTATTATGAAAATTACAACTCTGGGAAAGAGGAGCAGCTCTGTTCATTAATTCACGCTCAGCAAATTGCTAACTAATTTAGCTTCGCTCCTCTGCATTAATGGATCGTTTTATAAAAATGTTTTTCCATTGCCTGAGACCTGTGGTGAACACATCAGAGAACCCAGAATTAAAATAAACCTCTGAATGCTAGCTTTTTAGGGTTTAGCATTAAATATAAATATGGCATCTAACAATAATATGGCAAATGGCAATACCACAAGCATTTTTTCCAAATCCCAAGAAAATCTCCAGACAATCATTTAACTACGCTACCAATTTCAATGTAAATAGTTGAACTGTTAAACTTTAATAGATGTGTGAATGCTTTATTAACTAAAAAAAAATACAAACAGGACCTTTCTGTCTTCAGGAATTTTTCCATAGCAATGCTGCAGCTACAGTCTTCTTGATTAGACATTATAATATTTAAATATTTTAGATTTCAGAGGATGTTTCAGAACCTACATTAATGAGAAAGAAACATCTGGCCTTAAATACAAATTTCTTAGTGTCCTGGTGGAAGCTTGTCTTATCCATGGCATATTTGAACTTTGCGAGATGTCCTGCATCAGCTATAATTCTAGGCCAAAGTTAAGCGTATATAAAGGAAATTTCTAACCTTTTTCAGTTTCGGTTACTTTCGTCTCTTGTCCGACATTGTGAGTGGCCAGATCGCCTTCCTTTGGCATTGGGACGACGCTGGGAGACAATCTCAGAAGCATGTGGTTCATGGAGAGTCCATTCTGATGCGCAGCTTCACCATTAATATATATAAAAAGACAGTTTATGTGACTTTAAACATACATATTTGTTTTCACTTCTTTTTCACAAAGATAAATCAAGACTGAATCACAGGTGAGCTAATCACTGTAAATATCATCTTTAAGTATTTTGAACTTCATGGTAAGCAGTACGAAATGGCTCAGACAATGTTCCTTAAGCAAGCAAATCGATATATCATTCTAATTCTTTGTTAATTTTCTTTAAAATGCCTTTTTATAAGACATTATTAGACTAAATAAACTGGGGGGGAGGGGAATGGCATGGCAAAATTTACAGTCAAGAGGCTAAATTGACATTTCTATTAAAAGGTTGTCCGCAGAAGTAATTAAAACACATCATCGATCTGTCTGTGTCAGTACTAACGGATTCTGTCGGAGGAGCTCTCTGTGTGGGCGGGGGAGGTGGACACACTCGTGCTCTGGTGAGAAGACGCCTGGCTACCGGGTCTCCTGCGGTCTTCCACGGAGGGGGCGGGAGATGGGCTACCTGGGGTGCGTTCCTGCCGTCCGAGAGAGAGAAGGAATCAGTCTGGGCACCATACCTTGACATGCAACCTTGTCCAGCTAGTGTATTATTACACATGATAGACCATGTACAGTGTGCAGTACAGTATACGAAAGTAATTACCGCACTACAATTACAATTAATGTAATTTCAAACAATGTGCAGTTTGGCCATTTCAGTAGCTCCAGTGAAGTTATATGACATGCTTAGCAAATATTGTTGGATGTTGTGATTCTGTATGTTATTCACCTCAAAGTTAAAGTTATGAAGGTGGATCGCCACTCTTTTCACACATTCACAGAATACTTTTACAAGATTTACTAAATTCATTTTGGGGAACCTCAGTTAACTGTACTGGTCTGTTTGGTTAATACTGCTATTAAGATGAAGTGAACAGGCGCTGAACAAGAGCTGTCAGTTGTCTTATTATTTTAATCCAACAAAAATCAAAGATTAGCTCTAAATCTACATTCGTCAACTAAAACAAACAAAAAGAAAAAAATATCCAAGTAAAATCAAATTGAAAACAGAAGCACTTTCTCAGTTTCTGCCAGTGCATTCTGATGAGATGAAGGTAAGCATCTGCACATTATGTCACCTTTATCACAGACGTGACCATTCGGGATGGCGCGCTCTGTGCCTGAACAGCTGCAGCCATATTAGCAAAGGTGTTGAGATGGTTCATCTGACTCATCGCCATGGTGACGGAGGCAGGAGGCAGGCTGACCGGGATGAGAGGGTGGGGCATCATCATGAAGGGCTGCTCCAGGCCTAAGGGACAGCGCCAGCTTGCTTAATGTACACGGGGATGAATTCACAGTCAGGCAAGAATGTTCACCCATCGCCTTTTGCTTCTCAGCATCAACTTGTGTTTTAAAATGAAATTTTATCGATTTAAACAATTTTAAATAGTAAACAATATGCTGTTATTAGACCATTAAAGCAGACCTACAAAGTATTTCTGTGACATTATACGTGTAATTTTGCTCTAAAACTCTTTTTCTCACTTTCTTTGACAACAATATTAATTTTTCTGTTACCATGGTTGGATCGGCCCAGTTTGCTTATTTAATAGTCTAATACAGTTAAAGGCATAAAACAGGTACCATTTTATTTATGTGTAGCTGATATTAATGATCAAATTTTTCTTTTTCTTTTTTTTTTCTCACCCAGTGTTCATACATGACATCTGTATGTAATGTCATCAGCTATGCAACTTATGATCTGCAAAGTCACTCTTCTGTTCCTTAGTTAATTTGCCATTAAAACTAAAAAAAAAAAAACTAAAAAAAAAAACTATAGAAAGGGTTATCTTTAAGGAATATGGTATTATATTCAAATTATTGTTAGATAGCATTATATATAATTGCTTTAGAATCAGTATTGTTAACTGGGGTAAGACAGTAAATTATGAAAATGCGTTAATCGGGATTAACAATTTACTGTGGATATAAAACAATAATGAAATATATAATTCAAATTACTTTAAATTCCATAAATCAACCCAGTAAATTCACTGCAAGTAGATGAATAAAATATGATTTCAATCAGTCTTATCCCTTATCATTACATTAAATTGCATTATGCACACTATGCAGAATTATGACAATTACATCAGAAGTTGATAATTTTAAAGGGATGGCAAAATAAACAGACAAGAAAAGTTCCAGCTGATAAGAATTTCCCTTTTGTAATGAGAGATGGACATAGATGTTCAGGCCACAGGCCAGGCACCAGTGCTGCATATTCGCCAGCAGTGAATCCAGGTTGACATTCCCTTTAAGCGATCAAAAGACACCACTGTCATTGTCAGACTGTAGAATCAAATGTTAGTGCGTGATTAAGTGCCACTTTTTACTTTCCGACGTGTTGAGGGCAAAAAAACGGAAACGTCTCTGTACAAAGAGAGCCAGTGCACAAAACAGTTCAACATCACTTTTGAAGGAAATATCAGGGGACAAAGGGCAGGGAAGTTTGAATTGGGGGACCTTTTGAAAGAAAGACACAGCATTAGACAGACACAGAATTAGTTCCATAGCCGGCCTTTTCCCCCTTGAAAGGAAAATTGATTACCATAAGAAAGATAGCATGCAGATTAACAGGACACATCCAGGAACGTGAAAAGGGAAATAGGATTAAAGCCAAGGAAAGCGAACACCTCCCTCGGTCATCTTCACTTGTAGACATTGATACAAAGATTTTTTTTTTTCCCCACTTTCCACTGACATGGTGGTCTTACCAAAAATGAAATGAACTACAAATCATATATACAATTTATATATAGAGTACATCCATAATAGCTTATTACTTCTCTGCCAATACATAAACAAATAAATAGTAACACATAAACACACACACACACACACACACACACACACACACATATATATATATATATATATATATATATATATATATGTGTATATTTCTCAATCTATACCATCAATGGTCTCTTGAAATGTAACATACGTGATAGCTGGCCATAACATTGTGTGATTCGCTCACGATTACCAAGTTAGAAAGAATTAGCCACCCTGAATTTGTACCCAAGCGGTAGAATCTCAGTTGCATCAAATGAGCCTCATTTACCTAACCTTGCGTCAACTGTCAATATGAAGCGCAAGTATTGCGAGTATTAATACCTATGTTTAAAATCAAGAGATATCAAAGTTGCTTCTACCATAGTCAACAACAGTCAAGTTTTTCTTGATTTCTTCTTTTTGTCAGTAGTATCTGCTTTAAGAACAAATTCTTTATATCGATAATTCTTTCTTAATCAAAATTCACCCAGAAGGCCAGGCATCTCATAATCAATTAATCTTCTGTTCCGAAGTACACTAGTGGCTACTCGCCATGCACTCAGCAAATAAATACTCCCTGAACATAATGGCAGATTGGTTGGAAGCTCCATTTAAACAGCCTTTAGTTTGAATCGTGTAATTCTAATTGAAAATCTTGTTCATGTTACACATAAACAGCAAATAATTTATAACAAGCTGTTGTGATTAAATATGTCAGCTGGTGCTTATTTATTTATGCAAGTCTGACTAGCGGCTACATGCAGGAAATGGCACTGCACTCAGCTGGGCCTCTGACAGGCCTCAATAACAATGGGATTATTCAATAACTAATGAAAAAACGTTTCAGTCAGGCTGGCATGGTGACGCACTGGTTATCACTGTTGCCACTGGGACCAGGATTTGAGACTCTGCCATGGTTCCATGTGTGTGGAGTTTGCAGGATCTCCCCGTGTCGTCGTGGGGTTTCCTCCAGTTTCTCCCCCGCAGTGCACAACCATGCTGAGGTTAACTGGAGTTTCCAAATTGCCCGTAGGCGTGTCTGTGTGAGTGAATGGTGTGTGTGTGTGCCCTGTGATGGCTTGGTGCCCCATCCTGGGTGTGTGAGAGTGCCCTGCGATGGGTTGGTGCCCCATCCTGGGTGTGTGAGTTTGCCCTGCGATGGGTTGGTGCCCCATCCTGGGTGTGTGAGTTTGCCCTGTGATGGGTTGGTGCCCCATCCTGGGTTGATCCCCCTTGCGCCTGTAGCCTCGGACATATTGACAAACCTCATGTTCTTGAATAAAGCCCCAAGAATAAGCCTAATAGAATGCTAATAGAATGTTAGCAGTCAGCATTCACTGTGTGTATATTTATGCATCATAGGTTGTTCTAAAGATTTAGGTAGGAAAGATGTAACCATGCGATTGCAGTTTTTGCCATAATTGAATAATATTACCTGATCCTCATGGCTCCTCATGCCTTTTGAATACATATTAATTGTACACTAACAGCACAAGGATATAAGACATTATAAATATGAAAGTGTTCCGTTTATAGTCCGGTGAAGGTAATATTAGATATCAAAAATCATTATTGAATTGCAGTTGTGTATCCTTGAAAGAATATATCTAATGCAAGGTTATGGCATCTCAGAAAGCACGGGGTAAGGACACCCCAGAAAGTCTTCCAGTCTATCACAGTCACACAACGTAAAGTACGTACGAGTGCACGCAGAACGAACCTTGGGATCTCATAAGGAGGGAAACCAAAGTGCTGCACAGTGAATCCCGGAGTTGTAGTTCTCAAGATCCGGTCTTGGTCTCGAGACCGCTCAACCTGATCTCGGCCCTGTCTTGGTCATGAGCCCATTTTGTCTTGGTCTTGGCCATAAGTCTCGAAATATTATGAAACCTATTATCTGAATTGATATACAAAAATATTTCTTTCCCCTCACTAAGTGGAAATAAATTTCCCCACGCTGTCCTCTAGTAGCAGCGCCACTTAAAATACTAAATTTTATCAATTTAAATAATCTTAAATAGTAAACAATATTAGGGTAGTTAACCCTAACCCTAAAATACTAAAATGTACGACCAGCTGTCTCAGCGGTATAACGCTATTGGACAGCTTCAGGAGGCACAGGGGCTGCTGGGAAGCTATATCGAGAGAGTCCGGTGCCCGCTTGTCCGTGTGAGTCCATCTTGAGTGGATACGTCTTCGGCTGGGGAGCACTTCTAATCAGGGCCAGCCAAATTTGAGGTCACCGAAGTCTGGACCTCGGTAATTTTTTAAAGACCTAAAAATAAAATTTGATGCTAAATATTCACCTGAATAATATTAAAAAAATCAGCAGTTGAAAATGTCTGCGGGCTAAGTGCATTCTTAATTCAGCTCGAATGCGTCATTAATAGTGTCTGCTGTGTGTGTGTGAGAGAGAGAGAGCTGGAGCATTCAGTATAATCATGATAGATGATGCGAAACTTGCGAACCGCACGCGCTCACTTCGCTGAAAGCGGGTCGAATTCACCTTGTGTGCGTGTGACCAAGCAGCATCGCGAGGGAAGGGGGCACTGGCAGCATATCATTCGGAAAGACAAAACAATGATCGTTATCTGTGAAGAAAAAATAAATTAAAAAAACGTTCCGAAACGGCAACTTGGTATAGCATCCGGAGTAAAGATAATTGCATGAAACATGTTAAATGTAAGCATAGGCTAGGCTACTCTGACCATGTTAAAGGTTGGGTTTCTTTCATATGATGCCTAATGGACTAGATTAGGCTAGCAGACATTTCCCGTAACGTAAATAACAATAATAATAAACAGCTTATGAAGAGGACGGTATCAGTCCATAAAAACATTTCAAGGCCAAATTTGGATATCAAAACAAGTGTACTTGATGTTGGCTTGTAACGGTGTGTTAATATCAAGCATTTGCCTTTCATTTCTATCCTTATATATGGTTACAAATATCCGCAAATTTCATGCTTCATACCCATAATATTTTACTGCTCTGTAATGTTCTAATGACATAGACCTAAATTCATTCAGTAAGGCACATTCACATAATAGCACCACCTAACTTCTTGTAACCTAAACCATCAATTAATTGATATGAACTCTCATTTAACACTGCATATCCCGCAGAAAACAAGCCTCCTGTATGTATGATGTGATGGACAAGACCCACCCCCCCAATCCCCTCACCCCCGGGTCCCAAACACTGCTGCGGCCCTGCTCCCAGTCACCTGATAACGCATCAGGAACTGGTACGTTCATTTTTGAGAGCTATTCCCAAGGTATCTGTTGCAGTCCTCCATCACCAACTACCCCTGTTATGCTGGACTGTGTTGAACATTTTTGGTAGTGTTTATTGTTCAATGTTGATTGTTAGATTTGTGATTTACTATCGCCGTCAGGGACCTGGGGGAGGGCTTTGTGTATGTGATTTTGTTATATTATGTGTTTTTTATATATCTGTATTATTGTTTAGAGTATATGAACATTAAAAGTT